CTTTTTTTTTTTTTTTTTTTTTTTTTTTTTTTTTACTCATCAAGTTCTGAAATGCTATCATGAAAACGATGAAAACAGTCGTCCAGTCGTCCAAGGGGAGATCATACTGGGGGCGGCGGTGAGATGGTAGTGGGTGGTAGTGGGAATTGTGGTGGTGGGAGTGGTGGTGGGAGTCGTGGTAGGAGTCGTGGTGGGAGTAAGGGTTGAGGTGGGGATACACCTCTCGAAAATTTGTTGACTAAAAAAAAAAAAAGGTCATCAAGTTTTCGAAATTCCAAATGGATCGTACGCCACGAATTTTCGATCGTACAGGACCTCAAATTATCGTACGCGTACGATAATTATCGTACGAATGGGATCACTGGTCGTTGTGTCGAAGGGTAGTCAGTCAGTTGTTCAGTCTTAGTCGTAACAGTCGCAGTGCTAGTGAAAATCGTTATCGGTCGCAAGTCGTCATTAGTTGTAATTGTTCAGTTGTAAGAGTGCAGTTGCTTATTTCAGTTGTTATCATAAGATTGTGAAGTTACTATTGTACTTTTTTTAATATCTATTTTAAATAGATGAGATTAATAGATTGATATTCTAATATCAATCAAAACGATTGATATTACAATTTTTAATTTTTAATAATTATTATTTAAATAACCTGGTCCATTAATATTTGCTCCTTTTTTATACAAACTACCAATGTCTTTAGAAAATAAAACAATAAAACTAATGTCAATTAACAATATCTGTTTAAAATGCAATAAAAATTAAATCAAAAATAATACAAAATTCTTAAAGAAATAAAAATCAATATACTTTATTTATAATGATCTTTTAAACGAAAAAAAAAAAAAATAAACTCTTTTGCCAGGTGTGGGGTTCGAACCCACGCTCCCATCCGGGAACCAGAACTTAAATCTGGCGCCTTAGACCGCTCGGCCAACCTAGCTCGGTGGAGGGCACCAGAACGGACTCTGTCACTTGCAGAATTACGAAGACAATATAAAGAACTTAGTGTGTCAACAAATAGCCAAGTGTATGAACATTATTTTTTGAGTAAGAAAAAAGAGAACGTGAGTCCTAACCTCAAATGTGTTAGATCTCGGTCAAGCTCTAAGGAGTCCCACAAAAGCGGCGCCTCTGATGAGAGTCCTAACAAAATGGACATAGACGGTTTTACTAAACCAAAAAAAGTCAGAAAGATCGGCCCCTCGGTCGATAATTCAGGTCCCGCATGTGAAAATAGATACCGACCTCTTGAGACATTGGACGACTCCTCAATCGTTGACCCTCCACCCGGTAGGGCACTACAAGGAAAAAGAAAAGAGGGCGCTGTACATGAAAATGTCAACCCTAACCTTCGCTTCCATTCAAAGGCTGAGACCTCGAATGGGAGAGTCAATGATACAAAAAAAAGTGTGAAACCTCCGCCTGTACACGTGTACAACATAAATATCAAGGATATTCTTCATTCCTTACACAGAGAAGGAATTAAAGAGGAAGNTGCATTAAAGCTTGCTTGGGAATGTACAGGACAGCAGAAACTAACTACACCAAACGCATCAGCAACACCTCACTGTATAATATGGCCGGTATTCCTCGATTCGATATATTCACAATAACACTAACAAGGAACTATTTCTGCAACCTACACAAAATAGACAACGTCCACCTAAAATGTCTCAAAGTGGAAAACACAGCGATGGAATCCCGAATGGCACGCAGCAATTATTCTCCCCCTGAACTCTTTACCAATTTGGATAAGAAAGGATGTATTCAGGATGTAAACAATATTCCGATTATTTACCACATTCAACGACATTGTGCTAAAAAAGCAATCTGGACTGATATTGACAATATACCTACCGATAAATGGGTCTACTCGAAAGCCCTATCACGTAAAGACCAACAAAGTCTAGATAGACTGTCGAAGAATTACTGGTGGCTCCAGAATGATGCCAAACATATGGATGAAATTAGACGTAGAGCAAGGGAAAAAAGACAGCATCGGCCACGATTGCAAGGAGAACAGCAGTGAAGGATACATCAACATACCAGACAATAAGACTGAACTGTACCAACTATAAAGTACTATATTTATTAATAATTTTTCTATAATAGGTGCCTTAGTCACTGTGCTTTTTAGATTAGTTGTAAATATTGTAAATATGTACATATGTTCCCATCACCTTTCTACCCTTTCCTCTATCCTTCCTAACCTTTTCCTTTGCCCAAGAGGCTTGCCAAAGACGTAATGGTTTTTTTATGTTTTAGTTTTCCATTACTTCCCTTTTTGATCTCATTACTGACTGCAATACGTAGAGATTAAGAAAATAATATTAAGTCACCATAAATGTATTAATGTGTTTTGGAGAGACGCTTCAACCAAAGAAGACAACCAAAATTATATTTTTTATATATCATATTGTTTAAGCTGTTGTAAGGTCGTTTATTGCTTACTTATGTATATTGACAATGTTAAAAATAAACAACCTTTTTCAAACCAAAAAAAAAAAAAAAAGCTCGGTGGAGGGCAATATTTTTTGATTTATAAAAGTATAGAAATTTTTTGTTTAAATAAAATTGAAATAACCATTGCAAATTGATGATAAAAAACAATTTTTGTATCCTAGATTCATATAATATATGAAATGAGTGTATATATAACTATATAAACGCTTATTTTAATTTTTATCAGTTGAGTATTATACGCAAAAGGATAAAACAATCGTTTGATAAAATAAATTGTTATTGTTACTAAATGTCTTCTTTTTTTTTATTAAATTTTTCGTATAAAAAATACAAACACAATTAGATATATCAATATATCTTATCAGTTGGTCATCAATAATACAAACATTTGATCATTCTCAACGTTGAATTTAATCCAACATTCTTGCATAATATATAACAATGTCTTTTATGAACAATAAATAATTCGTAGTCAAGATTATAACATTCTATGGTGATAAAAAAAGTATCACATTGTTCAGGCAGCCCTTTAAAATTATTTTTAACAAAAACGTTAATCCTGYTTTCTTATCAGACAATAATAAATAAATAATTTATCATATAAATAATTGCACTATAAACGTAGACAATAAATAAATAATAATAATGATAATAAATAATCGTTCTTGAATGAACAAAAAAAAACATATTAAATAAGTTAATAAATAAATAAATTAGAAGTAAAAAAAAAAAAAGAACTATTAACTTAATCTATACGTGTGCACACTTTCAATGTTTCCAATGTTTCTCAATTTGTTAACATTTTTTTTAAACGACTAATGATTATGAACACTCGATTGGATAATTTCTAAATTAATCTTATATCAGCGTATTTTATCAACCATCCGTATCATTTTCTTATCAAAGTTCTTCCTTTCGGAGAATCCTACGAATTTGTATCCTCCATTTTAAACACACATACACACGTATAAAACCAAACGTCCATTTTAATAATCGAAGACACGTCTCCAAGCGTGAAGATAATCTTTGTATTTAATTAAAACACCCCAATCACGAACGAGTCTTCTGGTATCGTCAACTGGATCCCTTTCTCTTTGATTCATGATACTTCTTTCAATCCGTTGAGGTAAACGTAAAGATGGAAGATCTGCAATAGTACTCTCAACTTCGCACAACATGCTAAGAATCTGAGATTGCGTAGCTTTCAATGCATCATGTGTTTTAGAGATGGGTTCGTCTTGTACCAGTTCTTCGAATGCAACAGCAAACTTTTGCAAGTCCATGTGTAACTTTGGTAGATGATTAATGATCTGTAATAGAAGACAAATTAACGAGTTAGATATTATGACGAATGTAACAATACAGCATTTTAGATAAGAACGTTCTTGCTTGCTGATACTTTTTTTTTCCCCCACCAGGTTTCTTTCATTGTTATCACGAAAGTTCAGCGCGTGGTGCAGCTTGGATAAACGAATCGATGAATGAAGCTTTGTAAGTATTCAAGAGTACGTTAAAGATAAGGAATGGAATTGTGGTGGTGGTGTTGAAGGAGGTGCAYTCTAAATGCACCAGTGTTGGAAGAAAGGAAAGGTGGGGAATGGTAAAGGAAAACATGTACAGTTGCATACATGCAATAAACTGAGGAAGGATAAGCACGTAGACGGGTAGTAAGCGTATTATCGGTTAAGTTGTGGCTTTTATCAGTACTCTCACATAGAGGAAGCAGACGAGCGTGATTACGGAGCAGTTCGACCCGGCTAACATGAGAAACAGTTGCAGTCGTCATCGTCGTCGTCGTCGTCGTCGACGTCAACGTTTCTCTACGTTATGCGCGCGCAATACACACACACATACACAAGTATTACAAACCGGTGAAACGATAGCACGCGTTCCTGCTATCCTGCTACTTTATAATAATTACCGTCTCATTAAAATTTGTTATTTAACGTTGCGTTAATCAATTGCAATAGAATGCACGTCTGGTGTTGCACGGTGTACCAACAACTAAGATATGATTGTAAACTAACACGTTTATCAGTTACGCGACCCTTTTTACCTTTACTCTTTCATACCCATCTTCATATTGCATTTCCCTATCGTGAAAGTAATTAATATGGATACTCTAGATTTTAATACGATTTGGTGTTTATGAAATAAGCTCGAGACGATCTATTTAAGAAGTATAGAATAAATTTGTTTCGAATTTGCTAATCAATACGAAGCAAGATTTGTTCTTATTTAGATTAAATTGTTCATTATGATAATTACCGTTTGCTGACTACTTTTTCCAAGCCTCTTGATGTAGTTAGAATCCTTCTTTCCTGGTAACCAATTTGGAATATACTGGTGTTCTTGAACCCCGATTCTGACACGGTTGTAAAGATACTCGTAATCGTGATAGAGATATTCCTCTAACGTGATCTTATGCATCAATTTTAAATGGCTCAAGATCGAGTCCAACTCCTGCTGAGAGTCACCGTCAAATCCTTGTTCGATAACATCACCACACGGCAGGTACCATGAAGGAATATCCGTCACGTCTCTAACGTTTCTATTATTCGGTGCAGCAATGACTGTTGTTGCTGCTAAATGAGCAATGAGTAGACACGATATTTCGAATCTCATATTTGTTATTTCACACTTTCCTCTTAATATATAGAATCAAACGATTGATAAAATGTTCAATTTACTGTTGTTGGTTTACACTTTGTCAAATTGTATCTTTCTACCAAGTGTAACTATCTATACTCTTTCCTAATCTCTTGTGAAGTATGTTGGTTAAAAGGACTACAGATATATAGTGTATACTATATATACTTGTAAAGTTAGCTCGTCTAACTCGACACCAATGTTCACGATTGATATGAGATTTTCAACTTGTGAGATTGACACGATTTTCCAAATCTCATTTGCTATTTCCTCTTAATATATAGAATCACATAAATGTATTTTCTAGCTTGGTTTACACTCGGTGTTCAGTTTCTTTCTATTAAGTGTAATTATCTATACTATCTATATATAGTATATCGAATGATTCAACAGGAAGAAAAGTTTAGTTATCTTTCTCCAACTTTTGCTAAACGTTTCGATGTACAGATTTCTTGGTTTTGTGAAGTGTGTTGGTCAAAAGGACTAACTTGTAAAGTTAGCTCTTGACACCGATGTTCACGATTGCTGTGAGATCTTCAACTGAGATTGTCAAACCCTACTTCTTACTCCTTATATATGGGATTGTGTAAACAATCGAACGTACGTACGCACGTTTGACGTCTCGTACGGCCCAACTGGCCGCACTCGTCAGGGTGGCCGCAAATCTTTTGTCCATAGCTTTTTCGCTGATGTTCAAGTTCTTCTTTACATCTTCTTCGTAACATTGGCATATGTTTGGAAGGATCATTGCTAATTGGTCAACTTAATCTTTATTGCAAATAACAATTATTAATATTTAATTGTTTTTAAGTATATTTAATAAATAAGATTGAAACTTTTCAAATTGGAATTGAAAGAAATGTCAAACCCTTTCTGTCTTACTCAACACGAATAAATGTAACAGAAACCTGTTGCATTTAGATTAGAATAATAAAATGATGGTTTTACTTTACTTTTGTGGATGATGGTTGAGAAAAAGGTTTACGTCCAGTTATCCAAATTTATCAGTTTAATGACTTAGTAACCCAATAAATTTTGTTAACAGTTTTTATACGACATATCGATTTTCTTCGAAAGTAATCATCGATCAACTTATTACAGTCACGGGTTTTACACGTTATAAGTTAGGATCATACTTTCAAAAGTATATTACAACGTATCGACAAAAATCTTTCGTCCGGTCAGACTATGCAGACGCAAACAACGATTTGTTGACTTTGTGATTCAAATGGGGAAAGCCACGGAAGAAGAAACGCCCCGTCCAAACTCGTTGTCACCACTGAGACACCAACCAACCACCACCACTACCACCACCACCACAATCGTGATCTGGATATCCGAAATGGTGAAAGAGAACAAAAATAATTTTTTTAAAAAATGTTAAGACTCTAGAGAAGAGGGGGAAAAGTTACGAAATGCGTGTTGTCTTTTGCAATCTAGGGTATTTTTTTTTYTTTTTTCATACTCGTATTAAAACACAAAAATACAATTCTTACGGTTGATAATAAAAATGAATAATCGCGGATAACACCAGAAGCAACACATTTATTATTATCTTTTCAAAATATGCAATAGTCAAGAAAGGTGTGTGTGTTCACTGAAGGGGGGAGAGGGGAGGGGGGAGGAGGGAGTGGTTGGGGAAACAGGATCCAAAGGAAATGACGTTAGAGGTTCTATGTAAAATTTATTATTTATCTATTGAGATTTGTTATCGTACATCGGCCCCAATGTTTATTATCATTATTGATAAACAATAATGCGAGAAACGCGTTTTGAAGTACGATTTTGAATATTAAAAATATCCTTTAACTGTAAAGAACTTGACGTCAAATGGTCAATAATTTTACCCCTTGGTTGTATGAAAGTACTTCTCGATATGGGAGTAAAAAAAAAGTTGTGAATGAAGTTCGACGTAAGCTTAAAGTACGTAGTACGCTTAGTGTTGTTCTAACTCGCGTTGACACTAAGCGTGTTTGACACGATCCATATAAGGAGATACTATAATTAGATCCTTATGAAGATTCACCGAACTAAGATTAGATTCTCTCACGCCGGATTAAGCACAAGATGTGAGAAAAAAAAATGAGAAAGAGTGACAGAGATAGAGAGAGATAGAGAGAGAGAGAGTGAGGAATGCGTCTTGTTATTTCCCCGTATTCGTGGTTGTTTATCAAGGTCATGGAAAAATAAACTAAATATTGTTATTAGTATGACATATTATATTTTTATTGAAATCTCACGTGTCTGATTTGTTGGTTAATTGAATTTGTATATTTGAATGCAATTTTTGTTGAAAATCCTTCTTCATTGATGATTCGTAATATGACAGATAAGTATTATTGCGATAAATTTTTTGAACAAAATTGGGAGTGGTGTAAGATCTTTATCAATCTTATCTGATCTTGATCATTGTAAAAAAAAATGTATTTTCAATTTACAAAAAAATAAAAAAATAAAAAGGGAGATGGATTAATAATACCGTGGTGCAATATCGTCGGATAAAAAAAAAAAAAGAAAAGAAAATGAAAGTATTTTATTCTTATCGATATTAACGCGTCGTAGTGAATCGATCGATGAATTTATTGTTGTTTTTATTTTTTATTATTATTTCTTTTTTTCGTTTGTTACAAATTGTAATTGTTGTAAAAATGTTGTTAAACGTAATCAAGGTATCAGACATCGTAGTAATGTTAATATCTACTTCCTGTTACAACGTGCACTCCTATTACTATTTCGGTACTCTTGTAAATGGTTTTTCAAATCGATATTGTTTAATCATTTTAATACGATCGAAGAACAATTTACTATTAAGTAAGTGTGTTGAAACTTTAAAAATAAAAATTTTTAATTACAGTACTATCGTTTTAAAGTTCAATTTGACATTATGCCTACACGTATCCTAGGATGCGTGTTCTACACGATGATCATCGTAGTAGGCGTCAAACTATAGGACATTCTTTAAAAAAAAAAAAAAATAGTTTAAAGATTATTTAAACATTCATTTAAACGTGTTAGTAATTATTATATACCTTATTATTATTATTATTATTAAAACATGACAGACCTGGCGCGTTATTTTCACGCACGAACGCCTCTTACGCGATTTTATTGCAACATCATCTACGATCATGCGAAACTCGGATTAAACTTACATGTTTTGGTCAGACGACGTTCAATTTGTTCGTTCAATCGTTGGTTCAGTCGTTTGTTATTGATAACGAACGAATCGAGAGAGATTTCATGTTTTCCGGGTAAAATTCGATTCACAAACGAAAACGCATGTTGCAATGGTTTTCTATACATGCATGAGAAAGAAAGAAAGAAAATATATGTGTGAGCCGTTTATCTTGAAAGTGGCTTAACTCCATTTTCCAAAAAAATCGTGTGACCTTTTAGCTACGGGCGTATTTTCCGCGGTGCTACTTCTACTCTATTACTGGCTGCTAATACGTGCAGCATCAGCTAATTCAACAGCATCGAAATTGCACTTTATTTTTAAGTAATTTCGTCGTTAATATTAACGATTTTTAATCAAAAGAAACAAAATACTAAAATTACATGTCCAGAGTGGGATATTTGACGTGCTGTTACTGCATATGTTCGTCGTATGTAAAATACGCGGTATTTTATGGAGGACCACTACAGTGGCCCGTAATATCTCAGTGGCATCTTATGGAGGGCCAGAATAGTGGTCCGTAGTAACAAAATGACGTAATAGTTACATTTTTACATGATCTTTTCATTCTGAAGCAATTTTGTTAATAATATATTAAAAATCATGGAAAATTTTGAATGCGTTTTGTCAGAAATGAACCATATCAAATTTTCTATAAGACACTGATGAATGAGAATGAAAATTTGAAGATTTTGAATTTATTGATTGACATGAATTTTCGACAATATTATATTGACACCACTGTATGAAAATATCAGACAAATTACAACAGCAAAATTCAAGAACATAATGCACCTACTATGACATAAATTATGATTGCTTCAAATCCATTTTACATACGCAAAATGTAAATTAGCAGTAAATTGTTTTGTAATTGATGCAAATAATTGAATTGCATAAATTATGTTTCTAAAGTGTTTTAAAGATATATATTAGGTAGTACAAAAAGTCGTTTCGTTTTTCTTTTGTAAAAATGAAGACAATTCCTGCTTCGAGATAAAACCTAAATCTTTCAAGTGGTCATTAATAGTTGAATTTGATAAATTTAACCTCTCATCGATCTCATGTGTGTGTATGTTACTATTTTAAATGATATTGAATGGATTTGGGCTACTTCAAATTTTATAATAAATCTGGTTGTTAATATTGAAAATAACCTAACTCCATTCTTGTTAAAAAAACGCATATTAATAGCCACTATTTTAATAGGAACTGTAAATTGAATACCCTTAGATACACTTAAACAGTATGACTCGTTAGTATATTTTTGATTGCATTGAAACGCAAACTGTTCAATATCTCGATTCGAACATAAATGGAGTTATAGACCACTTTCAAAATGAACGGCTCAATTATTTTATTGCTCCTGCAAAGTTGTGACTTCGAGGGTAAAATTTGTTTGTAATGTTAGTAGACTGTATTAGAATATTAAAACAATTGTTAATTATTTGAAAGGAATGTGTATTGTTAACTAAGAACACCAAGTATATGATCGGAGTACTGTCCTCTTCGTTCTGAGTATTAATGCCAATTAATAATAATAATTATATATTTAATACGTGTGTTTTTTTTAATAATTGGTATATAAAATCTCAATTGGGCCCATAATTATGAAAGTGGCCTAAGTCATATATATCTCTAGTTTCGATTTAAAGATTTATACTCGAACACTATACGAATTCTATACAATATTGTAATAACAAACATTATCTAACGATTCATTTTTGATAATATCGTGAAAATTACATTGAATTTATTTAGTTTATAATAATGTAATGCGTAATAACTGATAAAATCATTTTTTTATTAATTTCGACTTAGATCAATTTCATAATTATGGGCACAATTTATTATTTATTTTTATAACACTTAACACTTAGCCGACTACGCGTGCTGTAGCGAACTGTAAAAGCAGCATTTAAAAATTAAAGCACTGCTTTTTTTGCCCATTTCGTGATTTTTTCGAAGAATATTATAATAAGACTAATAATTGGTCTGCACGATCGACCCCATTCATATATTTGTCTACATTGAAACGGGGAGATCTCCCCGATCGGTCGGCTAAATGTTAAAAATGTAATTGAAAGGAATTGGGGTTTTGGGAATGAAAGAGAATAAAGTTAAATTGCAAAAACAAAAAAAAGAAAAAGGAAGAAAATTCACTCGTTTATAATTTACAGTAGAAAAAAAGAAACATTAAATTTTATTCGAGACGATTATACACAAATAATTAATTAAAGAAGGAAAGAAAATAAAATATATATATATATATATATATATATAAAGAGAAGGATGACAAATAAATAATTATATGCGATGGTAACGTGATAATAATATAATAGATTAAAGACATTAATGTAAGTATGCTTGTACGTCGAATAAATATATATAAGTACACGTGTATACTCGATATAATGTATAACGGAGCAAAATAATGCATAATACATAGAAAAAAAAAAAAAAAAAAAAAAAAAAAAAAAAAAAAAAGTAATAATACATGTAGTCCTGTGTGACGGTATTAACGCGTCAAAATTTTGACCAAAAATGATTTTTAACGCGTAAATCGTAACCGT